ATATAGCCGGACGGCGTGGACCAATCAGAGGCCCGGATAACCGTGCTGTTATTTCCCGATAACAGCACATGTGGTGTTATGGCGGAATAACAGCACATGTCGTGTTATGGCTGATACCATTATGTTATAGGGTATAGGGGCATGCGACTCTTTCTGTAAACCTTTGTAGCATTTTTCTGTCCAATAAACTGTTTTGTTTAGCTTTATTTAAACTACAATTTGCATTAAATGAAATTATCCAGATTTGTTTTAAAGCGTATAATATATTCGAATGTATTTTTATGTATGTATATATATTAAAGCTGTTGTATTTCAAACAGGAATTGTGTTGATTGACAGTTTGGATAGGCTATATGATAATAATTTTAATGCACTGCCTTTTCCTCGTTGTATATGGTGTCATAACTGCATGGGCAGCTGCCATAACCACCTCATAAACCACCTCGTTCGCTTCGCTCACACGGTGGTTTATTCGGTGGTTATGGCAGCTGCTCATGCAGTTATGACACCATATACAACTCGGGGCAGTGCATTAACCCTTTATTATATGGTATGATATGTCATATGATATTATGTATGATATGACATGGTATGAGAAAAGCAAAACCATAAATGCAAAGGCCACAAATATGGCCTACACATTGACAAGTGTATGAGAGATCTAGAGGGCCTTGCTTTTATTAAATCATCTGCACTCTCACACAATGCACTAACATGATTGTACATTACATGTGTTACATGTGACCGACATCTGTGGTGTGCTAATGACTAACGGCGACTGTGCACGTAAATAGTGAATGTGTATATACGTTAAACTATGTCCAGGGTAGAGAACAGGAAGTCACTTTCTACGGTGGCGTGCAGAAGTGCTGAGGATGTAAACATGCTGCACACTTCCGGTTTGAGAACTGGCACATAATCTGTGTCAACCCCAGAGTCTGACTCAGCCACGGGATCTCAGAAATGATGGGGTCACCGATGGGCTATGTTGAATCCAGAACCGTGCCTTATCCACGACCATGCTCAGACACCGGTCTGGATAGTCCATGCGTAGCCGCACCCGTGCTTGTGACAAATCTTAAACGTTACAGAAGATCACCGCTTGAATGTTTTATCCAGAAACATTTCTGATTTTTTCTTCAGCTGATTCCTGTAAGACGACTGAAAGCACATTTCGAAAGAAACTTCTGAGCTGCGTGAGGGAGTGGAAATCACAGTATAACACGTCTGATGTTCGTGAGATGGGACACGTCAACTGTAGGTAAGCAACGACCTCCAAGCACGGAAGTATTGGTGTGTGTGTGTGTGTGTGTGTGTGTGTGTGTGTGTGTGTGTGTGTGTGTGTGTGTGTGTGTGTGTGTGTGTGTGTGATCGCGTGTGTGTGTGTGTAAGCGCGCGTGTGCGAGTGTGCATGTGTGTGCTCGTGTGACTGTATGCGCGCGTGTGTGCATGTGTGTGCTCGTGTGACTGTATGCGCTCGTGTGTGCATGTGTGTGCTCATGTGACTGTATGCGCGCGTGTGTGCATGTGTGTGCTCGTGTGACTGTATGCGCGCGTGTGATGATGTTGATTTCCTATTTTTCGTCCATCTTTCAGCACGGCGCTCCAGGAGAGGTTCCACGCATGTGTGGTAGACATGATCTTCCCGTCCTGCTGCAGTCTGCAGACTTTCACGACATTTTACCATGAGAAGGGCCCGGATCTGCTGTACAAGAACATCAACTCCTTCTGCTGCAGACGCTTCCAAAAGGTACACCAAGCTACTCTCCTAGCAGAGGTTTGGGTTTTGGCTTATATTTGACGTGTTGTCAGGTTTTTATTGGGCTTTCTTTTTTTGCACTGGTATCTTTTTTTACACCAACCCAAAATATTAAAAAAGATACCTGTGCAAAAAAGAAAGCCCGACAAAAAAAGCGTAAAACACGCCCAAAATAAGCCAAACCCCATGCTTGGAGTGCAACATATCAATCACCAAAACGTGAGTGAATAAAGTACCATATGGTAGCAAGGTGATCTATATGGTTAGAGCTGTTGACTCAGAATCTGAACGGGTTCTGGGTCTGAATCCTAGCAGACCCCACGTACGGATTTGTCCATGGGAAAATCTATTTCCTCACATGGCTCAGGTGAAAATGAGAACGCCAAGAGTACTTCACTTATGCCGCAATTGTTTTTCTCTGTAGAAATTGAAGCCGACGGAGCCTGCTGAACCTGACAACATTAATGTGGAAATGGGAGACAGCAGTAAAGAGAGAAACAACACACAAGTGGACAAGCTGTACAATGAAGAGAACAAACGGTTTGAAAGTTGTAAGTTTCTTTTTTTTTAATCAAAATCCTTTCGAGATAGAAAAGCGTAAATAAGGGTCCAAAGATTTGGTAGCCAGTGCCAGTTTCAGCATATGTTAAGGTTCGAGTGAAATCTAATGCTTTGTGCTGATTGCTTGAATTCATAATCATTTTCTTACTTCTCCCGTAGACCTACCGACAGACAAGCCAGAAACTACGACGATGATTGCGACAACACCAGAAAGCGAAGGTATGTGATACAAAGGTGCAACAGTGTCGATGAGAGCTGGTGTGGTGTTGTCTCATGTGTGGCGTATTGTCCCATCTGTCACAAACTCAGTCACGTTTGGGACCTCATTCTTTATTATGTAGCAGCGACAGCTATAGCTGTATTGCGAAGGAGAACTAATCAGTATTGCCCTGAGGAGGTAACAATGTATAAACGCTCGCCAAAACTTCGGCAGCTGATTATATCCTAGATGTGTACATAAATCGTATGGAGTCTAATACTGGCTTGATAACTCACTGCATGAATAAAAGGCTATCTCTTGTTCTTTCGTAGTCGTGATGTCAGAGGAGGCCGTTGTTGAAGCTAACAGCGGGTTTGCCCTGGACCTGTACCGGCGACTCTCTCAGCAGACAGACGGGAACGTGTTCTTCTCCCCGTACAGCATGTCCGTCGCCCTCGCTATGACGTACATGGGAGCCAGACACGACACTGCGTAAGGACAATATCGTATCTAGAACCGCGCCCGTCTAGTTCTATGCCTGGGTGGCTTAAGGTTAGGTTTAGGCACGGTTCTGAATAGATTTCGCGTATCCAAGAACGTACATATGCCACAGATCATTATTCTGGAGTATCCAAAGCTTGTCTATCTAGCACCGTAAGCCTGTATGGGTTAGGATTTGGTTCTGGATGGGTCTCTGCGTATCTAAAAGAGTAGATTTGCCCCAGGTATGGTAAGGAATACGCGTGGACTATCCAGAATCGTGTCTGAGCATGGTTCTGGATAAAGCATGGCTCTGGATTCAGCATGGCCACTCAGTTCTGAATAGTTTACGCGTATCCAAGAACGTACAGATTCCGCAGGCTCTTGTTTAACAAGTGGTTATGAATAAACAACTTTGATATTCCACAATGTCTTACATTCAACACCCTTCCAATAGTGCCCAGATGGCGGCTGTTCTGCACCTGTCTGAGGGAGAGTTTCACCAGGCGTTCTCCAACCTCAGCCGCGCCATGTTCGGGAACCAGCAGAAACACACACTCGTGCAGGCAAACAAGCTGTTCGGGCAACAGGGGATTGAGTAAGACTTCATACTTCAAGATTTCTAGTTTTAGGCCAAATGGGGCTAACTGGTTACAGGCAGCAAATAGATTCCCCTTACCCCGAAAATGTTGAACTAAACTGATCTGCCACAGAGAATCCGCTAGCCTAGAGACTAGATTTCCGTCAAGTAACTGGCATTACGTAGCGATGATTTCAAGCCTTGTTGCTCAAGAAAACGTATGTAGAGGTCAATGTTTCTCACCTGATTATCCAATAGCCCCCCCCCCCTAGCTCTGGGAAAGGTAAGGAAAATCCCAAGAACATTCCGACAAGTGGTTCAAGCGCACAACAGGAGTCTCTTTGAGATGAAACGCTACATAATGAAATAAGTTTAACACCGGACAGTTTCTAAATTGATTTAACATAAAATATCTTTCCGTTTCCAGCCTGCAAGACGACTTCCTGTCCGGCACGTCTCATTACTACGACGCTCCCCTCGAGACGGTGGACTTTGGCGATGAGGAGAGTTCACGGTCAACGATCAACAACTGGGTGTCTGCTCAGACCAAGAAGAAAATCAAGGAACTCATCCCAAAGGTATAGCTACTTTAAAAAGATTGATTGATTGATCGATTGATTGATTGATTGATTACTAGCTTGGTACGTAGACTGATTGGTTGGTTGGTTGGTTGGTTGGTTGGTTGGTTGGTTGGTTGGTTGGTTGGTTGGTTGGTTGGTTGGTTGGTTGGTTGGTTGGTTGCTTGGTTGCTTGGTTGGTTGGTTGCTTGCTTGCTTGCTTGCTTTGTTAGTTGGTTGCTCGCTAGTAAGGATGTTTGGTTGTTTGGCTGGCTGGCTGGCTGGCTGCTTGCTTGCTTCCTTTAGATAGATATCATATTGTTCCCCCTCTTGTCCCTTGCAGGGTATCCTGACCCCTCTCACCAGACTGGTCCTAGTGAACGCTGTGTACTTCAAGGGAACCTGGCAGACTCAGTTCGACCCTGACGAGACATACGACCGGAAATTCTTCCCAACGTCCGACAATCACTTCACGGTTCCCACCATGCATCAGCGCGGGAAGTTCCGGGTGGCTGAACTGGAGAATCTGCGGTGCCGAATGTTGGAGCTGCCTTACGCAGGAGGCGAACTGGCCATGTTTGTTCTGCTGCCTTTTCAGATGTTCGGGCTGAAGGACGTGGAGTCTAGTTTGACCAGCGAGGCCTTGTTGGAGGCCACGCGGGGCGACAGGTTGTATTTCATGCAGATTAGGCCTAGACTTGAATTTGCTTTCATGTACTTTTATAATTTGTCTACATAATAAGTTACCCGTATACCATGTGGCCATTATTGGATCAAGCGTTTTCGGCAAGCAACACATATTTATTTGGGTAGTGTAAAGCTGTCTAAATTTCATTAATATAATAAA